CCTAAACCCTAAAGCCTAAAGCCCCTAAAGTACCAAAGTCTTGTGAACTCCGGCCCTCAGGTCGACCTACACGAAGACCCACGCCCTAATCCCTAAACCAAGAACTGAACTCTCAACCCTCCCAGCACCCCCCAAGTACCCTTTAATAGAGCCCTTATGGTCCTTAATAGTGGGTATTTAGGGTATAATAGAGGGTAGTTGGGGGGTGCTGGTCAACCCAAATCCCTAAACCCGAAACCCAAATTAGGGGCCCATACTTCTAACTGTAGATCCTCCCGAGCCCTAAACCCCAAACCCTATGACCCCTAAACCCCTAAACCCTAAACCCCTAAACCCTAAACCCTAAACGGGATTTTGGAAGCTCTGGGACGAAGGGAGCCCACCTCGGCGTTTCCGAGGGCTCGACGCGGCAGAGGCCGGAGAGGTGGGGGCCTTTGTGCGCAAATGGCCCAACAGGGTAGGGTTTAGGGTTTAGGGTTTAGGGTTTAGGGTTTAGGGTTTAGGGTTTGGGGTTTGGGGGTTAGGGGTTAGGGGTTAGAGGGTTAGAGGGTTAGAGGGTTCAGGGTTTTGGGGGCTTTGGGTTCAGGGTTTTGGGGCATAGGGGTTGAGGGGTTTAGGGTTTACGGGGTTAAGAGCCATGTTTTCTACAATTATCTACAATTCTGGACGTAGGTCGCCCCCAAGCTTTGGGAACCTAGTTCCATAATAGTGTTACCCTTGTAAACCCTAAACCCTATTCCATAAACCCTCTTTTAGTGGCTCCTCCTGACAGACCTTGGACATAGGGGCATTAAAGCTTCAGGGCCTGGTGTGTATGCTGCGTGAGGGTTTAGGGGTGAGGGTTTAGGTTTTGGGGTTTGGGATTTAGGGTTTAAGTTTTAGGGTTTAGGGTTTAGGGGACCCTAAACCCTAAACCCGTTTCAGGATGTTTCAGGGTTTACAACTTATCTCAGGCTTTGCGAAGTGTGAAGCAGAGTCTCACGAAGGAGCTTGCCAGTGGTCGCCTGAAGATTGTGCACACCCAAACACTAGAAACCCTCAACCCCACAAACCCTAAACCCCTAAACCCAAAACCCCTAAACGCCCACCTCTGACGTCTTTTTCTCTTCGTCTTTCAGTCTTTGCAAATTCTGCCATGCGGTCGTGTCGTCGGTTCCTGAGTGACCCCGAAATAATACGGGTACCGGTACCCTTTTTCCTTCGGTTGGGTTGTAGTAAAGGATACCCCAAATAAAAAGGGCAACAGGGTACTACTCAGGAACCTAGTCCTAAACCCTAAACCCTAAACCCTTAAACCCTAAACCCTAAACCGCAGTGTCTCAAAAATGAACAAAGTCTGGGCTCGGAGGGCAGCTCTTCTCTAGCGCCGGCGCCGACTCAAAACTAGCCGTATCCATCTTTCTTCTGCGACTCCAAAACTTAGGGGGTTTAGGGTTTAGGGTTTAGGATTTTAGGATTTAGGGTTCTTAGGGGCTGAGTACCCTATCCCAAAAAAGGTTAACCTTTTCAATGATGGTAGGATTATACAAACCAGAAGGTTAAAGGTTACCTACTCAACCATTAAGAAGATCCAACCCAGAGGCTGCTCTCCCGAAGCCTACATCCCCCGACCCTCATCCCTAAACCCTACACCCTGAACTCTACCCACAGGCCCCGTAGTAGTTCCTTTTTGGGGTTCATATTTAGAATCCTATAAGGTAATCCCAAAAAGGAACTACTAGGGGGCCTATGGGTAAAGACCCGAAGCTTCCCTACACCCCCACTCCCCAACAGCCTCCTGGCCGAGTTCCCCAGACACCAAGCAAAAAGGGATAACAAAGGCATCTGAGCTCGAGCTGCCTCTTCCTAGCATGGAGCTGCCTCTTTAAAGGCGTGGCTGAGTAAGTTATGCGGACTTGCCTTCTGCTCATTCTAAATCCTAAACCCCTAAACCAAGTACGGCCCAAAAGCCAGCTCGAAGCATCAGGCCGCTCAGAATTTATTATTGTTCGTGTATTGAAGTGGATGGCTCCGCCGTTCTTCTTGTGGACAACATCCTGCATTGACCATAATAGCGAATATCCCATAGTAGCTCCTAGAGTTTAGGACGTTGAAGGCCCAGGGTACTTAAGGCAGTCTGGATTTCGTCCATCAGCCGAAGCACACATCACACAAGAAAATCTCAAGCGCTGTCAGCGCCGTGAAACCTGTACATGTTGCAAGCAATCTATGCATCTATAGAAAAATTCGGCCACTCGTACTACAACAGCAGTGGCGCGGAGCATGTCGTTCTGTGTACACAGACGCCACCTCGCTACCGGGTTCCAGAAGACTCGCGAATCGCGAACAATCATTGAATCCTCTGGATGTATCTGACCAAAGATCCCGATGCTTGGCTTGAGATGCACATGGCGGTTGACAACACACATGTGCCTCCTGTCTCAAGTCAAGCCTACCTTTACAGTCTCCGTTGTGGTTCCATGTATGGTTAGCCCATTCTCGTGGTTACGACCCAATGAAAATGATTTTGGTGAACCAAAGCAGCAACTGCAACGGAAACTCTAGGCAGGAGGAGCCAGGGCATACAGCCAGGGCTTACAGCCAGGGCTCTCATGCTAGGACCGCAGCACCGACAGCAACTCACATGCGAGTCTGCCAGTTCAGGACAGGAACCTTCAACCCCTGAAATCCACCAAAACTCTGAGCCCTAAACCCTAAACTCTATAAACCCCTAAAGCGCAACACTCCAAATCCCAAAGCCACACTCAAACACAGCAAAACCCAAAACCACCAAAAAGCCTAAAAACCCTATGACGGCAGAAATTGGTGACTGAGCACCGGTCCTGCTTCTGCTCAAGCAGATTGGGCTTTGGCCCATTAAAATGCACCGACCGCCCGAACGCAGGGTTTACGTGAGTACCGTTTCAGGTTGGTGGGGTCAGTTTTCAACCTGCTGAGTTGGGGCGGGAGGTTGGCTGCCGGGCGCCAACGACATCGGCGCCCCCAGCTCCAACGAACGAAGGCCATGCTCTACAGAGGCTTCAACAATTCAAACGGGCTTTGGGGTAGAACGACAATGAGGAACCCTAAAGCATATTGCAGGAGAATATTCATGCTTTTGTTCGACAGAGGCAAGCTTAGAAGCCGCGGTAGGCAGTCCACTGGCAGCAACTTGCCATCTAAGCAGAGTCGCAATGAGCCGCCAGGGTGGCCGAGAAATTGTATGATGCACCGGCACATGCATACCGGCCTTAGCGTCACGAGGTCTGCACTGCAGATCCCCTCCTTACAGCACCTCTAGCTCCAAGATCCGATAAGTACTATTTATCTCCTGTTGCTTGCTATGCTATATTTCACTACATTCCATTACACTGCTTTCGACGCAGCTTTACTGGGCATTGTTCTGCAGTGCTTTAAGCTCCCTTAGTAAGACAACATGGCTACGGCCCTCACAGTGGCGCGCAGTCAGCGAAAGCATTGTGGAGAAGTTCATGGTTCCAACCACCTGGCAGTGAAGATTTCCAAGTCCTAAACCCTAAACCCTAAAACCCCATGTGGCACGGCTGATGGACAGAATCCTGCACTACCTCAAGCACCCTAAGGTCGAGGAATCATTCTGAAAAAATCCGTATCATGGGTAATACATGACTTAGTACATCAACAAAGCCTATTCGCTGAAAAGTGTGCGAAAGAAACTTTGCATGCCACCTGGCGAAGCAGTCGAATCTTTCGAAACTTCCTCTTCGAAAAAGCCGTGGAGGCACCTGGCAGTCCTGCATGGACTGCCACCACCTCGACTTGCTTTGTTGTTGAGGCCTTTTGGCTTTGAGGGTTAAGGCTTTGAGGGTTCCTAAACCCTAAACCCTAAACCCCTTCGCCCCTAAACCCCGAAACCCTTAAGGCTGTGATGTAAGGCTTTGGGGTTTAGGGTTCAGGGTTCAGGCCGCAATTCCGGAACCTTCAAGCCCAAAAAACGAATCCATAAAGCCCACAGCTTAAACCTCGAACTATGCATGAGGGTGTTGGTTTTAGGGTTTAGGGTTTAGGGTGTAGGGTCATGCATCGCATGCTAACAGTGACAACCCTAAACCCTAAACCCTAAGCCTTAAACCCTAAACCCTAAACCCTAAAGCTAAGGGGCCGCCACAGCAAAGCCGGCATCCTCGAAACCATCTTGCTCGGCACGCTCCCGAAGTAGCTCTGCCAGCAGAGACAGTAGCTCCGCCCTGCTTTAGGGTTGAGGGTTTAGGGTTTGGGGTTTAGGGTTTAGGGTATAAGCAGGGTTTAGGGTTGATGTAGGGCTTAGGATGGAGGGATGCGGTTTAGGGCTTCGAGCCTAGGGCTAGGGTTTAGGCTTTGAGACCTCTGACCCAAAATCGTGTTCAAACTGTTAATAACCCTCAATACATGCACGTAATTCGTTTTTTAGGGACCACCGAGCCTGGGCATCATCTTCATCAACTCACGCTGATGCTTGTCAGGCTTTGGGGCACTGGAATGGTAATAGTGGCAAAAGCCACAGGCATCACCTTTCGGGCACTGCCCTTCCTTTGCGAAGTAGATGCATGGGCGGCTGCACAAGGTTGGGTGTCCGACGCTGCCCCGGTTTGGTGCCGGCGGATCGCAAACTGTTGCGTCCTGCCCGTGCCGGAGCGTGCGAAGATGACGCTGTGCCCATGCCTGGTATCTTCTAGATTGGGGAGCTTGGTTTACGCCACCCGAAAAGGGATCTACAGCAAAACCATGGTTTTCATTATAAGTATTTTAAAATTATGATTACGCTCCTTGATTCGTTGACAAGAGCCGAGATGCATCCACCACTGGGGTCTCCGACTTTGCCACGGATGCCCGAATCGGAGAAAAGCTCCTGGCCCGACCACGACGAGCTTCGCCATCTACCTTTCGAAGGGCTTAGGGTTTAGGGTTCAGGGTTTAGGGTTTAGGGTTTAGGGTTTAGGGTTTAGGGTTCAGGGTTTAATGTGTTTTGAAGGGTGATCACGAACAAGAGTCTTAATTACTGTCAAAGGTTCTTATTAAATCTTGCCTCCCCTTTTTTGAGGCCCTTGAACCTTGCCGTCATCGGCCAGGTCAATGAACGTAAAGCGGTAGGTGATGCGCGATCCAGCCATGGCTTGGTGAGAGTCTCGGTAGGATCCTACAGCAGGTTCCTGAAAGAGCTCGGGCAGCTGCTGCACTTATGAAGAATAGGGTTTTAGGGTTAGGGTTTAGGGTTTAGGGTTTAGGGTTTAGGGTAAGAATAGGGTTTTAGGGTTTAGGGTAGTCGGGTTTAGGGGAGTCGGGTTGAGGGTTTGGCGCGTTTAGCACTGGTAGCCAGCTTTCCATTCGCCCAGGGCTCAGTCCTTGGAACACTTCTGGGTTCCAAGCAGCCGACAGCCCCAAATCCTCCAACCTCCCCTTGCCAGCTCCATGGCTCAAAAAAACCCAAAAGCCCGACATGGACTGCTAGGCTTTCACAGAGTGTTATGTTGTTGCCGAATTCTGGGCCCCCTGAACCATTAAATGGGTGGTTGTCAAAATTATGGTCCCTTTTGGGGTTCTTATTATAATACGGCACCTATTATTTAGGGTACCCCAACAGGGACCATAATTTTGACAACTACCCAAATGTAGAACGCAGAGAACTCACAAGATCAGGGTCTTATGACCTGCTGTGAAATTTCTGGATGAGGTTGTTCAAATCGTTTATGGTTTAGGGTTACATAGGGTTTATGGCTATAGGGCTTTGGGTTACATAGGTTTTAGGGTTTGGGGGTTTTGCAAACCAAAGAGTCCTAGCTACCTGCTTTAGGGTTTAGGGTTTAGGGTTTAGGGTTTAGGGTTTAGGGTAGGAGAAAGTAAGGCTAGGGGACGCAGTAAGTTATAGGTTCAGCAGGATGACCCCAGTTGGGGCACTTTAGGGTTTAGGGTTTGTATAGACTCCACGCATAACCTGCTTACTAAACAGCCCGAACCTCTAGGTAGCATGGTAAGGAGGAGTCGCGATGAAGGTTCGGGGGGGGGCTCTGAAAGCGCAGGGGTTTGGTCTTCAGAATCACCGGGCTTGTAGTCTAGAGTTTAGGGTTTAGGGGTCTAGTCTAGGATTTGGGGCTTAGGCTTGTAGGGTCTCGCCTTCCTTCTTCTTCTTCGTACTCAAGGTCTCTGAACGAAATGAGACGGCTTGCGTCTATATGCACCAAGCCAGGGCTCGGCGCTGAAGCTGAAACTGCAACATTACGACATTTGAACCCTCAGGGTCCATGTGCCTAGATCGTATATACTTGTACAATCCCATAAAGTAGCTATGTAGGAACCCCGTTCACTTAGACTATACAGGTGGAGCCTTAGGGGTTTCAACTATCGTAGCTTCATGGCTTGTTCGGCTTTATGGGTCCAGAGCCGCGGTTCAGGGTTTAGGGTTTAGGGCTTAGGGCAGCTTAGGGTGTAAAGGTTTAGGACTCAGGGTTGAGGGTTAAGGCTTAAGGGTCCGATTTAGGGCTCAGGGTTTAGGGTTTTAAGATTTAGGTCCCCTTTCAGAACGCTTGGTCCTGGTACCGCACCGGGTTTAGGGTTAAGGGTTTAGGGGCGCAAAAAGCTATCTAATGCCTCTGCCTCACACTCCGTTCCAGAAGATGTATTGCGTCTTTCCCTTCTCCAAAGATCAAAGAGGTATGGCGAAGTCGATCACCGATGCGGTTCGCTAATTCTGCATGCAGTCTTTTCGCAAAGAGTCTGGGCTCGGGGGAAGCGCTTGTCTAGCGCAGATGCCGACTGCAAAACGTCTGTAAAAACTGTCGTTCTAGTACGGTTGCCCCGACTTGATCCCGTCATCCTGAAACTACCCCCGCCTGCTAGTATGAAAGCTGGTGGGCTTTGACAGTCACCGTCTATGAGGGACACTATACAGGCATGAATAATTAGAGTGAGGTTGGGTGGTATAAAATAGCAATCCCAAGCGAATACTGTTAGTAGCTATTGCGATCCCTAGATTATGTTGGGGGCTGTGGCAAGATGATCTGGGGATGCATTGGATTCACCGCTAATGTCAATAACAACATATGTTGGGTTTAGGGTACACCTGTACATATAACAGTGGCCACCAAAAAACTACGACTGGTTCCTACTCATAGAGTCTCCTAGAGTGGTACATAATCCTGGTCGCAGTGAAACTAGTACACCAGCCCGCAGAATTCCCCAGCGACCAATGCCAATGCATGGAGCATTTAGCTAGGAAAAAATGCATTCCAACCAAGTTGCGACACCCTAAACCCTAAACCCTAAACCCTAAACCCTAAACCCAAACACCCCCCAAAGCCCCCCCGGCCAAGCCCTCCATATTCAGAGCAAAAGGGCAAACAAAGTCATCATGAGCCTGAGTTCGAGCTGCCATGAGCTGCCTCGTTCAAGCGCGAAAGCGATGTCGAAGCCCGGTAAGAGTTTCTATGCTCACACACGTGTGCTAGCCTGAGTAAGAGCCTCTGCCACTGTCCAAACTCTTTAAGGGCACGTGCCTGGACCCTTCGGAAGAAAAGACGCTGTCTTGCTCTTGCTATTCTGGCGGCGACTGTGAGTCTACAGTCTAGGGTTTAGAGGGTCTGGCAACTTTTCTGTTTCTGGTGATGGTTGGCGTGTTGCTGATGAGGTTGGGTTCATTTGTGGTGCCTTTCCACGTTGGTAGCTACGACGACAGGTCATACCATCATTGCTGTCGTTAATACGATTCGTGTTGCTGCTACGCTAACTGCTACTCCGACCGCTATGACTTGCTGCCACAAGTATCCGTGTTAGTACTAGCCCTGCTGTTGCCATCATCGATGCGACTAGCTAGCAAAACGCAGCATTGTCATCGTTGCCATCATCGCCAGCATCGTCTGCATGTGCGCATGATCCCTATTATCATTCTCACGGTGTTCCCCCCCCCATCCCCACCATCCGAGGGCGTTAGTTGCCGTGAGTATGACGATGAATGTCGTTACGGTGTGGTATCTATGATGTCCATTGCTGCCGCTATGTTGATGACCGCCCGTCTTGCTGCAACTAGTTGAGTCGATGCAGTTCGTGATGTCACTATTGCGACTCCGGCGATTCGCTTGACATTAAAGAAATGCCATTGTCAAGAGCGAGCTAGAGATTTGAAGTTGCTGTTGTTGCTACTCGTCACCCAAGAACAAACCGGGTGCGCTGTTCTGCGATCAATGTCTAGTTTGGGGCACAGGGTTCTGAATGCAGGTACTTCATAAATCACATACTATCCCAAACTCTACAAATATACCATAGTAAACCCAAGTACCTTTTTATCAGGGCCCTTGCGAGCAGGGATGATAAAATTGTGTCCTTCAGGAAAGTTCAAGGGTCTACATCAGGGTGTATTCAGCAAAGAAGCGCAAGATTTGCTCTCAACACAAAGGGGCGAATCTCGTAATATTCAGGTCAGCACAATGCCCGAGAACCCACATGCTCCTGAAATTGAGCAATATCCTTTAGATATCCCGAGATTATAAGACCCGGAGTATCATGTCTTAGCAAATTCAAGGAATCTTATTTCCCGAACGAAGGGGTCTTACACTCTTTTGGAAATATGGATAGTATTCCTTAGGGCTCCTTGACATAACTGTACTGCGATGTACTCCAAAACTGAATTCTGTGCCTTATTAATCCTAAACCCTAACCCCTAAACCTCTAAACCAACTAAGGCCCAATAGCCAGCTCGAAGCAGCAGGTCGCTGAAAATGTATATTCTTGTTCGTGTATTGAAGTGGATGGCTTCGCCGTTCTTCTTGTGGACAAAATCCTGCATTCCCCATAATGAGCTATATCCCATAGTAATTCCTGGACTGCAAGGGCTAGGGTACATAAGGCAGTCTGGACTTTGTCCATCAGCCGAAGCACACACCACACAAGAAAATCTCAAGCGCTGTCAGCGCGAGGAAACCTGTACATGTTGCAAGCAATCTATGTATTTATGGAAAGATTCGGCCGCTCGTACCAGAACAGCAGTGGCGGCGGAGCATGTCGTTCTGTTTACACAGACGCCACCTCGCCACCGGGTTCCAGAAGATCCGCGACACGCTTTGGATCTTCTGGATGTATGGTAGACTCAAGAAAGTTGGAACATTGCAATCCTTATGCCCTGAAGGTAAAGCACAAGGGATCATAGCAGGTCATAGCACTCATCCATGTTCCAAATTTCTGGGATTCGATGTATCAGACTATAGAATCCGATCCGTGACTGGAGACGCACATGGCAGTTGACAACACACATGTGCCCCTTGTCTCAAGTCAAGACGGACATCGTCTCCATTGCAGCTCCATTTATGGTTAGCCAACTCTTATAGCTAGGACAAAAAGAAAAGAGTTGTGGTTGAGCAAAAAAGGAATTGCAAAGGAAACGATAGGCACGGTTGATGATAACAATTCTGCAATACCTCAAGCACCCTTAACTGTGGGAACTATGGCATCTTCCCTATTTTGGGTCATGCAACCTAAACCCTGAAGGATTTATATCATCAACCAGGGGGCCAGGGCTTACGGCCTTGATCCTCACAGCTTCTGCTGCTTTCTGCCGAAGCAGATTGGGCAATGGCACATTGAAATCACCGATCGCCCGAAAAGTTTGGGGTTTAGGATTGTGATTGTCCCGAGATGGTGTACCATGTTATGTGCGACTACTGTTTAGCGCTTGTTCTAGGTGGGGGCGGCCGGCGGAAGGATTCGCGCAAACCCCAAACCCTAAACCCTAAACCCTAAACCCTAAACCCTAAACCGTGGCGCCCAAATCGGCACCCGCAGCACCAAGGAGGCGAAGGCCATGCTCTACGGAGGCCTCAACAGTTGAAACCCTAAACCCTATAAACCCAATACCGTGAAGGAGCCTGGAGTAAAAGAAAGATCTAGGGTTTAGAGTTTAGGGTTTAGAGTTTAGGGTTTAGGGTTTAGGGTTTAGGGTTTAGAGTTTAGGATTTAGGTAATGATTCAAGCTGGTTTGTTGCAGAGGCAAGCTTTGAAGCCCCGGTAGGCAGTCCACTGGCAGCAACTTACAACCTAAGCAGAGTCGCAAAGAGCTGCCAATGTGGCCGAGCACATGTATCACGCACCAGCTCATGACACAAGTCACGAGGTCTGCACTGCAGATCCTTAGCACATCAGTGCACCTCGCATCTTAAGAGTATTAGGTCTCATGTTGGTACGTAATACTTAGAATGGGGCTTCGGGATGTTCCGGGGTAATAATCGCACTAATTGCACTGACCCGGATATTAATGATGGAGCTTGCTCGTGCGACATCGGCGTGCGATGAACACGCGTGGGTTTAAGGCTTCGGGCTTGTGTGTAGTTTCTGGGGTTTGGACTTAGCCTGAAAGGATTTAAGGCTTATATAGCTCTTCTAGAATGAATAGGTCGTCTTCGGTTTTTAGAGTTTATAGGTCAATACCGGGTTTAGGGTGCAACTCACCAGCGTGGTGCAGCCAGCTTGCGCAAGGAATCTTGGTCTTTAATTGGCATTCTTCTGCAGAGCTTTAAGCTCCGTCAGTAGGATAACCTTGCTGCGGCCCTCACAGTGGCGCGCAGTCAGCGAAAGCATTGAGGAAAAGTTCATGGATCCCACCACCTGGCACTGAGGCTTTACAAACTTCCAGTTCTGAGATTTACACAGAAGAGTGGTACAGGATGGACAGACTCCTTCGCCACCTTATGTACTTGACGTATAAAGCCTAGGAATATACATCAACAGAACTGTTCGCTGCAAAGTGCACTGAATCTAAAGAAACCGTAAGCCCTGACCCGCGTCACCTGGCGCAGGAGTCGAAGCTTCCGAGCCTTCCGCTTCGACACCATTGAGTCCGTTGAGGCACCTGGCAGTCCTGCATGGACAGCCACCACCTCGGCTTGGTTTGTGGTTCAGGATTTAAAAGTTTGAGGGTTGAGAGTTTAGGGTTTAGTATTTAGGAGAACCCTAAACTCTAAACCCTAAGCCCTAACCCTCAACTCTACACCCTAAACCATATAAGCTTACAAGATCCCTGAACAGAACCCTCTCAAAGAACCCCTTGGAGAAGCCCCTCAGGCCCTTTCTAAAACCCTAAAGCCACCACCTCGGTGACGGTTTACGGTTCAGGCTTTAGGATTCCCCTTTAAAGCACCCCTTAAAGGAACCCCACAGAACCCAAAAAGGCTTTAGGGTTTAGGGCTTAGGGCTTTTAGGGTTCAGGGTTTAGGGTTTGAGGTTTAGGGTTCAGGGGTCCCTTATAAAACCCCGAGCCATCACCTCGGTGTCAGTTCTACTGAGCTCACCTTGTCAGGATTTGAAGCAGAGGGTCAAAGCCCTAAAGCCTGAACCCACAGCCCTAAACCCTAAACCCCTAAACCCTAAAAACGTTCATACGAGAGCCCTTATATAGAAACTGATATCGAACCTCTGTAGAACCCTTAAAGAGAACTCCTACAATCCATTCATTACGCGGCAAACGAACATGACCCTCCAAAGTACTAAGGGCCCTTTTCTCTCCGACTCAGATACTCTGACTTCATGTGTGGGTTTCTGAACCTTGAACCCGCTTAGGGCACATGTCGTGCTTTAGACCCTACGTCCTTTAGACCCTAAGGCCTAAGCCCTAAATCGTAGACCCTAAACCCTACAGAAGCCAGATAGAACCCTTACAAGCACCCTGAAATTTGAAAGGATCCTGTTAAGGAATCCTTTAAAGGATAGAGGAACCCCGTTAAAGCACCCCTTAAAGGAACCCCGCAGAACCCAAAAAGCACCCTGTAAATGACCCCTTAAGAGCACCCCTAAACCCTAAACCTAAACCCCAAACCTTAAACTCTAAACCCTAAATCTTAGACTCTCAACCCTAAAACCTAAAACTTAAACCCCAAACCTTACACCCCTTAAAAGACTCTGAATGCTTCTGCGCTCCATGTCGCCACCCTAACCAAGGGGCCGCCACAGCAAAGCCCGCATCCTGAATCCCATCCTGCTCGGCGCGCTCCCGAAGTAGCTCTGCCAGCAGAGACAGTAGCTCCGTCCTGTTATAAGCAGGGTTTTAGGGTTTAGGGTTGAGGGTCTAGGGTTTTAGGGTTTAGGGTTTAGGATTTAAACCTTTAGGGCTTAGAGTCTGGCTATTAGGGCTTTCCCTAAGGGTCCAGGTATCTCCTTACGAAGGTCCGGAATTTCCTAAGGAGTCTCAGAAACTTCGAGTTACGACCCCTAGGATAGGGTTGATTTAGGGCTTCGGATGGAGGGCAGAGGTTTTTTTTTGGGGGATTGCTACAATGCTGCAAGGTTTTAGGGCTTCGGGAGTTGAGGGTTGTCCGAATTTTCGGCCGCGTTCATCCACAACCGAAGTAGTTTTTGGAACTTCCTGCGTGTCTGTTTCGAAGAAATGACAAATGGTTCCAAATGAACACCGAGCCTGTGCATCGTCTTCATCAACTCACGCTGATGCTTGTCAGGCTTTGGGATACTGGAGTGGTGATGGTGGCAAAAACAACAGGCCACACCATTCGGGCACTGCCCCTGCTTTGCAAAGTAGATGCATGGGCGGCTGCACAACGTCGGGTGTCCGACACTACCTGAGTTTTTGCAGAAACACTTAACTGAAGCTACCACAACAAGGAAAGCATACTATCTACTAGAAATACCCAACGGTAGCTCATTTACGTACCTTCACTTAACAAGAGCCCAGCTACCCTTGTTTGGTGCAGCTGCATCGAAGACCGTTGCATCCTGCCCCTGCCGGAGGGTGCGAAGATGACGGTGTGCCCATGCCTGGGATCTTCATCAGGAGTTCTTGTTTTGGGGTTTAGGGTTCAGGGTTTGGGTTTAGGGTTTAGGGTTTATGTGCTCGCGCTGTAGCGCGTTTCTCACTGCTTATGGCCCCTAAACCCTAAACCCTAAACCCTAAACCCTAAACCCTAAACCCTGAACCCTAAAGAGCGCTTTTAATTTCGGGCAAGACTCGTAGACTTCCCTCCGTTGAGCGTGTGAGTGAGTGAGTGTGGTTTAGGGTTTAGGGTTTAGGGTTTAGGGTTTAGCTTACATTAACCGAACAGGTATTTATAGCAAAAATATGGCATCCTAAACTAAGTTCCCGAAAAAACAGGAAACAAACTGTACATACGTATCACATATCTATATATCTATCTCTGTGTATATATATATATATGTCTGTGTGTGTGTATTTGAAGGGATTCACAGTAGCTCAATGCTCAATGCTCAATGCTCACCCAACAGCCGACTAGTAGGGTACCCTTACTATTAAGTAGGAAAAAGAGTAGCCCCTTAATAGTAAGGGTACCCTTTTTCCTACTATTTGGTTTTAATAAGGGAACCCAAAAAGGAACAAGGGCAAAAGGGTATTACTGGGGAACCTAGATTACTCTCCTAAACCCTAAACCCTAAACCCTAAACCCTAAACCCAAACCTAAACCCTTTAACAAGAGCCCAGATGCATCCACCTCAAGAGTCTCCGACTTTGCCAGGGATGCCCGAGGTGGGGGAAGGCTGCTGGCCCGAGCCCGACCTGCCTGGCCATCCACCTTGCTGTTTGGGGTTTAGGTTTTAGGGGTTAGGGTGTTAGGTTTATGTAGGATTTCATGGTTTTAGGGTTTTAGGGTTTAGGGTTTAGGGTTTGGGGTTTAGGGCTGTAGGGGTTTAGGGGTTTAGGAGTTTCAGGCTTAGGGTTGGAGGGTTTTGGTGCAGGGTGGTTTAGGGCTCAGGGTTTGAGGGTTTTGCTGTCCGGTTATATAGGGCTTTTGGGTTGCGGTTGTTCATTGCTTCTGGGTTTAGCGCTCGAAAGGTGGGATGACCGTGGGTGCGGTAGTCAGAAGCAAGAGTTTCAGTACAAGGTGTGCTTAATCCAGGCCCTTGAACCTTGCCGTCATCCTCCAGGTCAATGAACGTAAAGCGGTAGGTGATGCGCGATCCAGCCATGGCTTGGTGGAAGTCTCGGTCGGATCCTACAGCAGGTTCCTGAAAGAGCTCGGGCAGCTGTGGCACTTGTGAAGAATAGGGTTTGGATTTAGAGTTTAATTAGGGACCCTAAACCCTAAACCCTAAACCCTAAACCCTAAACTCTGTGTAACAACACAGGTTTCATTCAGCTAAGGTCCAGTCCGAAGACTTTTGGGAAAAACTCAGATTTCTTGAGACTCTGGCCTACCCAATGAGTCTCCTTGCGACATTCCGAGTACCCGTAGCAATGCTCAGCAATACAACATAATAAAGCCTTCGGTAGATCCGCTCTCTTGGGTTTAGCAGCTTAACCCAAGAGAGCGGCTCTATCGAAGGCTTTATTAAGTTTAGCATAGTAGTTTTATAGGCTAGTACTTAGGATGTGGGAGAGCACCAACAGCCCTACACGGTCTTGAAGCTCCCCGACCTTTCCTTGCTAGGCTTTCAAGAGTTTGTTGTCTATCTTTTGATGTAGCTTCCTAAACCCTAAACCCTAATCAGTTTTGGGTTTGGCCTATCGTTTTACAATGCCTCGTAACATCGACCGAAGCCAAGGCCCTCCTCTAGACTAGTTTAGGGTTTAGGGTTTAGGGTTTAGTGTTCGGAGACATTTGGGTTTCCCTCATATGGCTTTGTTGGAGTCCTAACTGAATGCATGGTAAAAGGAAAGGCGGGGGACTCAGGTAAGTAGCTTGTTTGTAGGGATAACAAGCAGGATGACTCCATTCGAGGTACGTAAAAACGCTACTTATAACAAACCTCCAACTTACTAAGCCCACCCCCTAAGCCCTAAACCCAAACCCCTAAACCCTAAACCCTAAACCCTAATAGGGTTTAGGGTGTCGGGTCATGGTCCATTTGCCTTCATCCTCCCTCCTTCGTCTCCCAAGGCTCCGAGGGAACGTAGTCGAAGGGTGTAAGGGCTTATCGGTTTAGGGTTTAGAGTTTAAGGGTTTAGGGTTTAGGGTTTGAAGATTTAGGGTTTAGGGCTTAGGGTTTAAGGTTTAGCTTACCCCAGGGGTCCATGTGCCCAGATAGTATATACTTAGGCCCTACAGTACCGTTGGACCCCCAGGCTTATGCTTTGCTGGGTTCTTGTTGACAGAGAAAACTCCGTAGGCTTCTTGTGCTCGGTTGCACGGCTCTGTTCAACCCTCCACAGACACCGACAAACTGACAAACACAATCTATCAACCCATGTAGGAACACCCATGTGCAGCCAACATCAACCCAATAGTAACTTCACAAGACTTTGCAACCGAGACTACTTCGTTCAAAGCACGTGAAAAACGTCGAACAACAGTTGCTGCAAAAGAGTTCTTACAGAGTTTAACTCGCAAGGCTAATTTGTCCCCATGTGGCCACAACTGAACTGTACATCAGGTCATCACTTGGAGGATCATGGGACTTAGTAAGCAAGGTTATAAGTATCCTAATTGGGGTTATAATTATAGTTTCCTTATTTATAACCCTACCTGTGACCCCAAACCCTACAAAATAGCAGGTTATGACCCCTTAATTAGAAGGTAAAACCCTTAAAACGGTAGGTTTTTGGATCCTCAGGTAGTTACTAAGTCCCATGATCCTCCAAGCAGACAGACTGAGGAACTGTGCGACCTCAGCCCGGCTTCGGAAGTGGAGCAACATGCGGCACTTGCAGCGGCACGGCCATAATTGCTTGGAAAGCTACGTTATTCAAAACCATATAGTAAAGGTTTGCAAGTTATGAGTCATATTGCACCCTGGAAAGAATTAGGAAACCATGAAAGTGAACACTTGCCAGGAGTCGCGGCTTGGTCGCGGTCACTGCTGACCTTGCGCTATGCCCGAGAACCAATATGAAGGTATGTGACTGGCCACGTGCTCACTGCCCTTGAGCTACATCCATCTCGCATGAGGGAGACAGCGCTGAGACCTTTACAAGAAAGCTTCACGTGCTTCCAACATTGACTGCACATGCACGGAAGCGCGCCGCTGATAGGTGCGCACTGATGAAAAGAAGCGGGTATATCTCGGCAATTACAAACACCAATATAGCCATATAGCAAACAGTGCCCGCCCGTGTCTTCTGCCACCTGCTATAGAGCGCTAGACGTTGTCACAAAATGGCTCTGTCTCGTCTCCATCTTCATGCGGCTCTGCATGCACAGTGGTCCACCTGTTTTGTTGCTCCCCGGCGGCAGGGTCTGCGGGCTGTGAAGCTGTAAACAGAAGCCAAGCACGCCGTGGAATGTTTCCATCATCCCAACGATGTAGGTGCTGGAGCCAGCTTCCAGGTACTGCTGAGGCACCATAGATCGCACCTGCAATTTGCCCTGTCACAGCAGCTACGGTATCTGCATCACCACACAAATTGGCTGCATGGAGCAGCGCGGACTCGAAGCTGTCTGTCACATGCACGCAATGCAAAGCCATGGCCAGGCAGTCCATCGCATAGCTGCCTGCATATCCTGGGTCAGCATGAGCACGCTTGGGCGAGTATCTGTAGCCCTGACTTCGCCATCGCCAGTCCCTGTCAGCGAGGTCCGACTCAGTGTTGTCCGCGCAGCGTTCTTCTTGCTGTGACTGCGCGAGACATTTGGTTGAGTAAAAACGCGCCGGGAAGTCGTCAAGATTCTGCAATACTGCCTTGCCGGAACCAGACACAATGGCATTTAGGCATATCCAAGTCAGAAGGCGGGCGCAGTCGGCTGCCTCGTCACCCTGATGTGTAGTCTTCGATTGCCGCCACGCAGCTTCCATGGCCATGTGTATGTCGCGATGGTACAAGATTGGCACAGGTGCATTACGCATCAACGAGCCATTGCCACTAGAGTGGATGGTGCCCGTCCTTGTGTAGTCTGCTGCACCCGCCCTGAACTCTTGCAGTGATTCACCCACGATACCGCCGCATCCAATAGAGGCACGGCTGCCCCAAAGACGCGATCGGTCTGCATCCAATCGAAAAGCATTGTTGTACCCCAGTCTCCACCACGCTAGAAATCTCAGCCGAAGATCTCTGGGATGTAAGCCATTGTGTGCTAACAATGAGTCTGCCAAACACAAGGCCATAGCCTGGGCTTTGAAGTAACCAGGCAGAAAAAACTATAGACTTTTATTTCATAATGTTTTTTTTTAGGAACAGGTCCAAAAAACCAGTATTAAATTATGGTACTCCAAAGCCCAGTAGCTGTATCATCAGTCCACTGGCCCATTTGCAACAAAAACCGATTGGTCTCCCGCATCTCCGACTTATCCTGCCAGAGTGCCTCGTCAAAGCCTGCAGAGGCTGAGTCTACCGTATGTAGGGCTACATTGAGGTGTATTAGGGTGTGTTGGAGTGTCTTAGGGTACGTCGGGATTGTATTGGGGGTATGCAGGGGTGGATTCAGGTATACTTGGGTTGTATCGTAGATTGGAGGTATGATGTCGGGGTGGTTGGGCGCCCTAAAAACCCTGAACCCTAAACCCTAAAACCCTAAAACCCCTTCAACCCCAAAACCCTAAATCCAATACCGTCCCCAGGCCTGCTAAGGGTGAATACTTGGCATAGTCCGGATCACCCTTGTAGCGCACCGGATGGAACTCCAAAGGAGCACCAAGGGCATCGCCTAATGTAGGGGCCTTAAGAATTAGACTAGGGTTTTGGGGTAGATTATACGTTATTTATACGAAGGAACCCCCAAAATAATAATCTCAGGGCATCGCCTATAGCCAAACCCAGAAGGCATCCGACAGCACGGTCTGCATCAGCTGCAAGTTCGTCTTCAAGCCCAGCTTGGGCTTCTTGCTGCTGATCGTGGGTCAGAAACCTTACTTCCCCGGTTTAGGGTTTAGGGTTTAGGGTTTAGGGGTTTAGGGGTTTAGGGTTTAGGCTTTAGGGTTTAGGGGTTAAACTTCCAGATTACTACCCAAAAAAAAAGCACCCACAAAGTTTAAAGGTTGAGTATTGGGGAACTAAGAAACTGAAAATCCACCAGCGCATCATCAGCGAAGCGGTCCGCACTCACCAACCACAGTCCATCGGGAAATGTAAAGATGCGAGACTCATCGAAGGCTCCCAGAGCGGCAGAGCCCTTAGACTGAGGGACGCCCATGGCGGATCTGAAGTGCTACTTGGCCTCAAGCCACAACAGCTAGTGGGTAGAATGGGTATAGTGGGTCTGAAAGGCATCTTGGGCTTCATGGGTAAAGTGGCTAGGAAGACCCTGAACAGAAGGGAAACTCAAGATACCCATCATCTTCAAACTCATGCAGGGACCACAGGCTCTTGCTCACGTCTCCTAGCTGAAGCCGCTCTTTCATCGAAGGGGCAGCGGTTCTATAACCCTTAAGGAGTCACGGCACTAGAAAAATCAAACCCTAAACCCTAAACCTAAAACCCTAAACCCTAAAACCCTAAAACCCTAAAACCCTAAACCCTAAACCCCAAACCCAAAAACCCTAAACCCTAAACCCCAAACCCAAAAACCCAAAAACCCTACACCCTAAACCCTAAACCCTAAACCCCAAACCCTAAACCCTAAACCCTAAACCGCCCTAAACCCCAAACCGCCCTAAAGCCCTACTAGAAATCTACCCCCGGCCCAGGGGGCTCGAGTGCCCAGCCTGGAGGCTTCACCGTGGGTTCGCAGAGAGCTGTGCACTCATCCGACTTTTATCTGTTCATATTAAAAGTATGAATCTGAATACTTAGGATTATTCTTATGACTACTGTTACTATTATTATTATCATTATTTGTTTATTATTTATTTATTTATTGTTATCAATATCTATGGCCTGCATATGGATTTTAAAGGGTCTCTTGACAGGGTCCAAGGTACAGCGTTTGGGGCCTCTTCCGGATTGGGAGCCCGAGTAGCGAGGATCTGATTTCTGATCCGGAAGCTCCGACTCAAATCTTGCGTTAGCAGCTTCGGCGGGAGAGAAATTCCCGGCACCCTGAAGCTTCTTGCCAGAGAGCTAAGGTGCCTTCTGCTAATACAGTTGATGCACCCATCCCCCACATGTAGCCTCTGAGCGATAAACAGCTTGCTATAAACAAAACGGAAAGCATGAGCATTATGATGGCGACCCGCGACCCTGAACTCTGGACCTTAAAACATCACCACTCTATGTCTTATAACTCAGTATGATACAACTCCAACTGCCAGGCGCGGAAGAGATATCTCCAGCCGAGGCGCCGGCAATAAAGGGGAACTACAGTTTACGGCGTTGGACCGGGGCCTGAACACTGCGCCCAACAAAGCATTGGCTTATAGTCCCCATGTACTCATATGTGCCAGAACTGCCAGAATCCTGTTCTAATTATTGAGGCCCTGTAGTAAAGATTGGCGGTGAGCAGGACCTCCCTCCTTCAGCCAGTGCTAGTGGGTGCTCTCTAGGTTTGGGTTTAGATGTTGTTTGGCCTCAGGGTAGAGTTTTGCCAGAGTTTAGAACATCAGCGGATTATGGACTCAGGGCTCTGGGCTTCTCTATGACTTTAGGGGTTTGAACTCAGGGCATGGGCCCTTGGGTTGAGTCTTCCCGGTCTTTCGGATGCTGGGCAGAGTCGCTGGGCTGGGGTTTGATTTCTGTTTACCTGGGTTTAACGACTGAGAGTTCAGAGGTCGGATGGCAGAGCTTGTTCTGCGAAGATGGTCGGATTCGTCTAGTGAGTCTCGTGCTTCTAGGTTTTAGAGTTGAGGATCTTGGATCCAAGTGAGGTCCCAAAAGTCTCTCATCACGTCCAGGGATTTCGGACCTTTTGGCTTCAGAGGGAAAGCGCCGCCGAGCGACCCAACACCTCGTCCTTATCATGGAGTTCAATGAGGGGTGGGCTCAAAAACCCTAAACCCTAAACCTTTCATTGAACAGTACGTAGAGTATAAGGTCGACCGCCGCGGCGCGAGCACCGAAGACGCGGCCGGCCCGCTCGGCTCCCACATGCCAGCAACCCCTGCACCTCAAAAGTCCTAGACAGGCCCATGAACCTACGACTCCTACCCCTAGACCCTAAACCCTAAACCCCTAAACCCTAAACCCTAAGCTCCTACATCCGGACTGACGAAGGCCTGGCGTGCAATGGCTGCACTGGAAGAGCAGCTGGCCCGGGAGACCGACTTCTCCGAGGTTCTCCCTTAAGCTGCAAGTGCCTTTGCAAGTAGTTTGAGTATGTGTGGGTGCATACATATTCCCCATACTTACATAGTTTTGCATATATATATATATAGATATTCATGTATTCATGCATGCATGTATGTATGTATGTTTTTACGAATGTATGTATGTATGTATGTATGTATGTATGTATGTATGTATGTATGTATGTATGTATGTATGTATGTATGTGTGTACGTATGTTATGTATGTTATGTATGTATGCATGTATGTGTGTATGTATGTATGTATGTATGTATGTATGTCTGTCTGTATGTATGTATGTATGTATGTATGTATGTATGTATGTATGTAGGCGTGTATGTATGCATGCATGTATGTATGTATGTATGTATGTACGTATGTATGTATGTATGTATGTATGTATGTGTGTATGTACATACGTATGTATGCATGCATGTCCCGTATGTATGCATGCATGCATGCATGCATGCATGCATGCATCGGTCTATGCATGCATGCATGCATCGGTCTATGTATGTATGTATGTATGTATGTATGTATGTATGTATGTCTGTACGTATGTATTTGTGTGTGTGTGTATGTGTGTGTATATGTATGTAGGTGTGCGCAGCTCTGTATATGCCAGTCTCGTTGTGCATCATGTTGTGGATGGGTATAGGGATGTCCAGTGCTCCGGTTTTGCACAGCACAACCATTGCCACGCTCTAAGTAAATCTAACATAGCCTAGTTTTATGTATACCAAAAACAAAGTAAAGTATAATCACTTGACTATCATATGTTACAATGCAATGAATCTGACATAGAGGTGTTGTTTAGCTGCAGCTTGGGGACCCAAGGTTGAGGTCTCGGGGCATCGGAGTGTGTGGTGCAGGCGTTGGGTTGCAAAGCTTGCGACATCCCCAAAGTACACCTAAGAATGGCTTGTAACGGCTAGTTAGGTAGCTCAGGAAATGCATGGCCGGATCCACAGCAGGCGTTATTCCATGTCTGCATGGGTTATATAACTATAGGCCCTAACTTGCGACACCTCCTTACGTATAAGCCTGACTTGTAGAGCCTGCTTCTGGGCCAGGATGCCAGTGTGCGACAGGCGGGGAATGCTCGGGTTAAACCAGATCCGCGGGTTGAGGCCAATGGCAGAAAGTTGTGGGACAAGGTTTACTTCAGGGTGCGAATCAACGACCCTCAACCGTGTTCGCTGCGCAGATATGCCAGTCGCACCTGGCACACAAAACTCCGGAATATCTATCTCAGTGTGTGTGTATACATATATATGTATAATATAATATATATATATATATATATATATATCATATATATACATATATATATATATATATATCTGACTATATGTGCTTTTCTGTGCAGTAGTCCTTCGGACGAAGGGTTTGACTGCCAGGGCGTTGTGGATGGGGAACGCATTCGGGGCAGTGGTCCCGATGCTCCGCAATCGGTTGGTTTAAGGCTGCATGTTGAAGTGCAGGCCTAAACCCTAAACCCTAAACCCCAGAAGACGCGTAGCCTCAGAGGTCGGGGTGTCACATGCTATGGGGTCATGCGGATCGCAGAGCTGGCGACATGAAGCGTGAACTCCTAAAGCAACTGCATCCCGTGCCCAGATCCTTCAGCTTGACATTCAGTTGCACACACGAGCCCGCAACATCGTTCCGAAAAAAGAGAATCTTTACAATCTAGGTTAACTCCATCCTCCGGCGAAGAAGTTGAGCCGACATTTCGCGTGGTTGAGAAACGTGGTTCTCGAAATTTGGATGATGTGGTCTTGATGATCAATGGCGGCTGGTGTTGAGGCTTCAGCTTTAGCTTCTTCAGGCAGGGTTCAAGTTAGAGCATGGGAAGGTGCCTGCTTCCGCGTCACTGCATGAATGACCACTTAAGTGTGTTGGGTCTAGGCCTCGGCGTCCAGCGGCTGTTTTGAGCCGTCGGGATCGCGAATTCAGACAGTAGTTCCAGCAGCTGGTGTAGCTGAGTAACGCTTTGCATACCGAAGTCATGCTGACAGTCCAAAGCCGAACCAAATCTGAGCAGTAGCGCCAGAGTAGAAGAATCAAGGCAAGAGTACTGTTGGCTCTTTATTGGGAAGCTACTGTGACTGCAAGGCATCAACGCTGCTGCGACAGATGCTGACGCTCACGGCTTGGCCTTTCCCTTGCGGTGTAAACTACAAGAACTTCTTGTCTTATAGAAGTTTGCCAGCGCAAGACATTGAGATGCGCGATACCAAACCCAGTAGAACAAGCAACACCAACACCCAAACCGAAAACGTCACATCCCGCGTTGACGGTTAAGGTCAGACAGTATTACACGAGGACCGTTGCAGCAACAAGTTTCTGATCCTGTGCAAAGTTGGAGCCAGCGAAAAGGGTTTCGTGGAAGATGCGAACGAATTCCAGTTTCTCGTCTTCTCCTCTTTCCTTGCCTGAGCGAGCTTCAGAGCGCTTACCCCATATTTGAACCCATAGCTCCCAAACGCCGACATGGGAGACTCGAGAAGAAACAAGATCATTCTTCGGCATTCGAGATTGAAACTCCGTATCAAAGAATTGCGCAAGAAGCTCCTGCCCCCCATGAGACTTTCAGAACGTAAGGGAAAGGGTGGACCCTACACCAGTATAGGCCCTGCATGAGGTGGCCCCTTTTGAGGAACAACGGGCCCTATAAACCTTATGAGCCTTAAACCCTAAACCCTATAAACCCCCAAACTCCCAAACACTAACTAAAGCCCTAAACCCTAAAGCCCTAAACCCTAAAACCCTACAAACCCCTAAACCCTATAAACCCCTAAACCCCAAACCGACGTTGCATCCCCAGTCTGCTCTGAGGACGGCAGCTCACGAGAGTAATCCGGCTCTCATTCAGATGGCTCAGGCCAGGCTTGAGAGTTTAGGGTTTAAGGTTTAGGGTTTAGGGTTTATAAGGGTTTAGGGTGTGGGGTTTAGGGGTTTTGGGGTTCA